GCTAAGATTACAGGTATCACACCTAGTTTAACAGAGATTATCTCATACACATAAATAAAGGTCATTATATTGGATGGTGAATGAGTTTATTATATTGATTTTGGTTATTCCTTCAAATGTATATCAAAATATCTCATTGTACACCTTAAGTATATACAATTTTTATTTGTCACTTAGACATCAATAAAGCTGAAGGTAGCAATAAGGTAGGCAATCGTTCACCAACACTTCTGGTTAAAAGTAAAGGATGACTCATTGAGAAAGGATTTTGGGCCGAGGATTTAGCTCAGTGGTTCCGGCGCCTGCCTCGCAAGCGCAAGGTCCAGAGTTTGATCCCCAGTACCAAAAAAAAAAAAAGAAAAGGATTTCTAAACCATAGATGATATTCTAATAGGCAGAGATGGGGAAAGAGAGCATTCAAAGAGAACAGCATCTCTGGTATCAAATTAAGGAGTCTGAATTTCATTCTCTGACAAAAAATGAACCCTACTAGACTTTCAGAACTGTAACTTGATAAAGATGCTCTTTGGAGGCAGTAATAGAGTTGAAAGGGAGAGAAAGGGGAATGCTAGGGAAAGAAATATAAAAATTAAATAGCTTTCCTGAGGTCACAAAGTTAATCATACACCCAATCCTGAAACTTGGTTCTTCAGATATCTCATTTTTTTCCTATTAGAATATATAATCAGGAATATAATTTTCTGTTCAGGGTTAATCAAAGACATATAATTTATAAGCCCAGTAATTATTTGCCTACTCCAACGTTTTACTAGCAACAAAGAGTATAACTCATAAAGCCTGCATTTATCATATTGAACAAAATATTTTCTACTTACAATATGCCTCTTTATCCCTTTCATAAACTGCCTATTTATGTTAACTTTCACAATTGGTAGTCAAAAACATTTCTGAGAGTAAATATTTGAAATCAGAGGGCCGGGGATTTAGCTCAGTGGTTTTGCCGTCTGCTGTGCAAGCACAAGGACCCAAGTTCAATCCCGATACAAAAAAAAAAACAAAAAAAAAACCCAATGAAATCAGCATTAACACATCCCTGCTGGCTGGCTTGAACCACCACTGTCCCATTAGGTGGCCTGTACTAGTGGTACAAACAGAGCTAATCACTTTTATTGGTCTTTTTATTAATAAAATTAATAAAATAATTAAAAGTTAAGTGAGTTGCTAGTTTGATTACTGCCCAAATATTAATACTATTCATATCGATTTTAAAATTTTACAATAATCAATATATTTATTTCATTAAATTAAAAGAAATTTATATTCTTGAATAGTTTATCAATAATTAATTCTCTAACTTTTAAGACAGAAATCTTACAAGGTCCCCACTGCTGGTGTATATAATATGCATTTACAATTTCTGCACCGCAAAGTAGCTATGTTACAATTTTCATACCATTTTAATGTTTTCTTTAAGCAACTGTAATATGATGATACCTAGTCTGCTAAATCAATGCCCTTCTTTACATTATTGCAATCAAAAACCCCACCAGCAGTGATACAAATCACCCCCTGGGACAATGCATGTACCACCAACTGTTCAAGCCAGTGGGAACTACTGAATTCAAATCAGAGCCACCTGACAACAAGACATGAATAATGGCCCTATGGTGAACGTGTTAATCTGAAAGTATAACCATATATCTAATTTAGAAGGATAACATTTTAAGATATCATTTTGAGGTTCACATATCCCAGTGAAGCGTATATTAAAGGACTAATCCTGAGGACCTTGGTATATAATAAAATACAACTCATCTCACAGAACACCCATGTCAATCATAAAACATACCCTGTTTTATACAGCAGTTTCAGTCTTAAAGATGAAACCTTTTATGATACCCTTGACAGAAATATATCAACTGTTCTATCAATAAATTTCTACCTCTACCACCTCAACCTAACATAAACATCCTAAACAGTTAACAGTCCTAGTTCCAGACTCTTGAGTAGTTTTTAGAACTCCTAAGAATCATAATGTAGGGAAAGCAAATTTACAGTAACACATTACACTGAAAACAAAGCAATAAAAACCTTCATACTTTAGTGATGAAATATACTATTTTAAAATCTCCATCAAAAAGCAAAGTAAACAGTACCTAAAGAAACTTTTTTATTCATCAGTAAGTCTAAACGGCACTATGGTGTCTTTCTCAAATTTGGGGTTAAAAAATAAATATGAAGAGCTATGATTCTACAACGCTGGAATTTCAAATAGCTACTTAGGGTGTATTAACAGTAGCTATATGAAGTGCATATAAGTTCACTACAAGAACCATAGAATGTATAAACTTAGTCTTAGAGATTTTAAATCTCACACATTAACAATTTTAGGGGAACATTAAACCACCATCTTAGATTATAAGCTAGTTTTTTGTAATGCATTCAAGACAGCTTAATATACTAAGAACCTAACAATATTCCGAGTAAGCAAATCTTGTAATATCCTCTCAACTCTTTGGGCATGTCTGTCCCTGCTTCCAAAAGCCCTCAAGCAGCTACGACTTTAACTATGTGAAACCCTTTAGATCTTCAAAATTAACTTGATTCCATAAAATTACTTGGAACTACCTTCTGAAAGTCAAAGCTTTCATGTTCTCACTGCAAACACTTTAAACCAATTCACTCAAAATTGTGAGTATAACTGATAGCTCCTTAATTTAAATAAAGTATTTGCACTTTGTGTTACCAGAGTTTGCTAACCAAAATTTATTTCAACTTAGTTTCAGGAAGTTAGAAATTAAAGTCAAAGTTTTGGCCAGGGATTTAGCTCAGTGGCACCACACCTGCCTCACAAGTGCAAGGTCCTGAGTTCGATCCCCGATATTAAAAAAAAAAAAATCAGAATTTTTAGTGTGAGAAAAGGCATATCCCAGGAGGAAAAGACTAGAAGCTGGAACTTAGCATTTGTGCCTCACTTACCTAATCATACAATCACAGCCCTTAAAATCACCTGGTTCAATAAGAACAAGGTTAACCAACATGTAAACCTACAGTACCCATGTAGCCTCCCCTTTGCTATTTCTGCATTTCATTTCACTCTATACCTCTGAATTAATACATTCCCTAAAGTCTGTCTTTTACATAGTTTGTAATAGTACCAGCCCCCTGGATTTCTATGAAAAGGAACTGTGAGTACAGTGGGAATTTAAAAGTAAGGAGTAGGAGTAATTTTAAATCCCAAGACTGCATGGATTATGTTGCATCTAACTCCAAAGCCAGACAGTATTTTTTTAAGGGTTTTTTTTGTTGTTGTTGTTTTTTGAGATAGGGTCTTGCTATATATTCCAGGCTGCCCTTGAACTCACTATGTAGCTCAGGCTAGCCCCAAACTCGAATCCTTCTGCCTCAGCCTCCAGAGTGCTGGAATTACAGGTGTGACCTACCACACTTGGCAAAACTAGACAAATACTAATACTCAAAATGTCCCAAAGAGAGTTGAGGCACATTTTTATATTCCTTTAACAGGGAAAAAGGTGGCTCATAGGCTTCTGGTCTATTCATTCCTCATATTAAATTTTCTTTTATCTAAAATTAAGTCAGGTCTGCCTTTTTAGAGGTAAGAAATGTTAAATTTTAGGCTTTACAATTTGTTATATTCAAATAGGATTACATACTAAATCCAGAAAACAAATTAAAATTCAAGTTCTAATTATTTGTTCTGCATGTGCTTTAAATAGTTTCATAAACAAAAATTATTCAACTGGCATATACATTGTAAATGCTTATCTCATTTAAGAACCAAATGATATATATATGTTAAAATGCAATTAAGCATGAGAGAATATCATTGCTGATATTATTTCACAATTTAAAAATGCAATTAAGCATGACAGAATATCATATTGCTGGTATTTCACAACAGCGTGTTTTGTTTTGATACATATTCGAAAACTAGATCAAAATTTTATGGCAAATAGTCTAATTTACTACCTAACTATGAGAGTCAAACAGAAAATATACTAGAATTACCTAAATCCTATCACCAAATTTACCAGGACTGCGTGTAAGGGCAGTCAAGGGCAGTATAAGCATTCCACTTTGAGAGATTTGAGGGCTATAGCCAATATAAAACAGGTATTTTACATAGATCTAATGAGGGCAAGGTCATAACCTATCTCCACCTGGCCAAATTAGCTTTAGAAAGAGAACACTCTGACATCGATTAGTAATGTCTTCTTTAGAGGAAAAAGGGCATTTTTTGTACTCTGAATTCTATAGTGTGTTTTTACACAGATCTATAGCAGCATTTGCAGAGTATCCTATCTGCCACTTATTTTTCAAATTATTTCTCTTATGTACTAGTTAATTAGATGCAAGAAGGAAAAAGATAACCAGGATTTAAAGCAAAAACAGAACTCTGTCCCATGCTCTCTCCAAGTCTTATTATTTCCAGGTGTTGAATAGCGCGGACAGATTTGAGTTCTACTTCCGCTCCTCCTTACATCCCTGTAAGTGTCTGGGGGCAAGGGAGAAAGAAACCAGCCTGAAAGTGGGAAAGGGACGGCAGGGCTGAGGTAGGGGGATATTCATATACTAGAACTTTAGTAAAAATAACTCCAGCTGTAAGTTTCTAGAAACAAGCTACTACAGGCCTGTCAAGTCTGACACTGGGTAAACCCCAACAGGCTTTCCTTACTCCAAAACAACCACCTTTAAAGCAGGGGAGTTGGGGACACCACGGCGGCCAGATTTCTGAGCAAAGTTTAAATAAATTTGCTCCGAAGAACGAAGGAAAGGAGAGGAGGGTAAGTCTGGGCTCAGCCAAGCGGGCGAGCGCTCGCGGGGTCTGCACGGAGCGCAGCGGTCGGTGCCACCCCGGGAGGCGCAGGGGTTTCCGTGGCAGCGACTTCATCCACCTCGGAGCACGACGGAGTCTGGCGCCAAGGGGCTGGGGTCCGGGCGCTGGATGGAAGTTAGGGGCGGGACGGCGCCCGGACGCCGGGGAGGGATCAGCGAAAGACGGCGGCGGCTCTACTTACTCGACTGTACCAGAGGCTAAGGCGGGCCGGAGCCAGCACGGCGAAGAAAGCCCTCTGAGGGTCCGCTTGGATGTGGAAAGGCGCCTCGGCCGAGCTCCCCACGGGGCAGAGCAGCCTCTTGGGCCAGCCGCTCAGGAAATACATGGTCCGCGCGGAGCCGCCGACGCCGGAGCGCCCGGCGGCCCCCGACCCCCGGCCCCGTCAGTCACACTCAGCGGCCCCGGGCCGGTCGCCCGCCTCCCACACCGCCACCGGCGGAGTCGGCGGCGGCGGCGGCGGCGGCAAGTCCGGGCATCTGCCCACTGGCCGGGCCGGGCCAGGCCGACGCTGCGCCGCGCGACGAAGACACCCCGGCGCGTACGGGGCTGAGGGTGGCGAAGGGAAGGGGAGGGAGAGTCGGCCCAAGAGAGGGCGGGAGGAGCGCGGAGGCCCGCCCCTTCCCCGCCCCTTCCTCGGGCCGCGCGGGCGTCACCACGCCGCGCCGCGTGGGTCGGCCGGGAGGGCGCGCGCGCTCTGGAGACGTCTGCCGACCTCCCCCACAGCAGTTCTCTGAAGCCCCGCCCTAAATCTCCCTGGCGGCCACCGCGCTGCGTCAACACGCATGCGGCTAGGCTCCACTGTCGCTGTGCTGCGATTGGAGCGTATTGTCCGGGTTTGGAGGAGAGAGGGAGGGCAAGACTTGTGAGGCTCAGAGGGAAGTGGCCGAGGCACTTAGCTGGACAAGCCGTCCCCTGGCAGCCACTTTTGACTTCCCCTCGGGATTGGTGGGGCCTGTGGTGGAGGCGGCCCTGCGCTGCCACGCGTGTGGCGGCGGGTTGAGGGGATTGCGAGTGACGTGACGCTCAGTGCCCAGGTTCCCAGTTTGGGCTCCCGGAGGCGGCCGCGCTGCGGAGTTCTAGGATCTCTGGGAGAGCGTCCTTTTTGTATGCCATAGTCTGCAAAGCGAGTTGGTGTAGTTCCTGCGCCTTTATGGAGCTTAGATCCCACCCAGGGCCTTTATTCAATCATTAAACAGCTTACCGTGAAAGTGCCTGAGACCTGTCCTCTGCCCTTTAGCTCAATTTGCGTTAATCTGTCTCTACCAACAACGTTAGGTAAAGCCGACGCTGTCTCTCTTGGCACCCACCGTGGAGTATGTTCTGCCAAAGATGTGTAGTTAATTTTAGAGTTGGACTGGATTACAGATACTGTAGTTTGGTATTTAACTTTTGGATCCCAGAGATCACCTTAACAATAAGTACCTCTTTTAAAGGATTGACCCAGGGATAACCTCTGAATTAGGAGTTCGGAAGGGAAGATACAGTGTGGAGTGGAGAGTGGATGAAGGAGGCTTTTGAACAGAAGAAAGACTTGTTTCTCATTTTCTCTTTGTTTTGTATAGTTTGAATTTTTACATATGATTAAATTACTTTTTCACTTTAAAAGGGCCGAAGTTAAAAATGTTAACGTTAAAAAGTAGCAACATTAATAGCAAACAGGGAAACTAACTTAATTGCTCATCAGGTACAGCACTTGTAGCTGGTATTCAAAACAAAATCTCTTTACCTAATGTTTCCAAACATTTGCTATCACCCTAGAAGGTGATCAAAGAATTGCCTCCACTCACCAGCTTCTTGTGGTCAGATTGTGTCTTCTTGGCGTACCGCCCCACTCCAGCGCAGCAGCTCGGAATGTGGCAAGCATAGTAAATTTTGAAAATATTTATCAGATGAAACGCTCATCCAGCTGAACTACTCCATTGGACAAGTCCAGAGAGGTTTCTTAACCTGACAATATAAAATTATAGAATAACAAAGTTTCATCATATTTTTCATCTTTGATTCAGTCCTACACTTGGCAGAGAGAGGAAATGAAAATGTTAAGCTTGCAGCAATTTCACTGAGCACATACTTGTCCTACCTCTCCTTCAGACGGTCTTTGTTCTCTGGTCACTCGTAAGTGTGAATAGCTTCCTGAACTTACAAGCAATTTAAGAAGCGTCTAAGTAATTTTTATTGCGCTCAATTTTGACCTTGTTTGACATCTTTAGAATGTAATTCTCCTGCCACCTTCCTCTGTGGCATTTAAGGTTTATAAAATAATTTCAAATGCACGATTTTACTAAATTCCACAGTAAACTAAACCTTCAAGGTAGATAATATTGGTGGGATTTGTTATTCTGGTTGGGATGGGGGTGGTGTTTTCTTTCTTAATGAGGAAATAGGACAACAGTGGGGGACATGCCTATAGTCATATGGCCTGCAAAGAACTGGTCTTCCTTGTACAGATCCACTGGAGTTAGCATGGATTGAACGGAATTGTGATAGTTGTTCTGGACGTGGCAGGGGGAGGTGATGACACTCTAGTAGAAGACAGGATGACTCAAGTTCATGGGCAATTTAAAGAGACTTTGTCTCTCTACAGAAATAGGGCTAGGGATGTAACTCAGTCGTAGAGGACTTGCCTAGCATTCTTGAGGCCCTGGGTTTGATCTCTGTATGGGAAAACAAAAGTTAGAGAAGAATATTTAATCATAGAGAAGTATGTTCCCTGTATGTTATGCGAAATATGACCCCACATTTATGAAAAAAAATGCATTTATGTCCCTAAGGGAAAAACAGGAAGAAAATGCACTAAAAGTTGGTGTTTTAAGACCACCTTAACATAAATAATTTTTTAAAAAGCTACCTTGACTATGGTTGCTTAATGTGTACTTTAATTTTTTTTATTATTATTTTGAAGGCAGATGTGATGATGACACCTGTAATCCCAGCTCTCCGGAGACTAAGGCAGGAGGATCACTGTGAGTTCGATGCCAGCTTGGGCTGCATAGTGAGTTCAGTTGAATTGCTTAGCGAGACCTTATCCCCCCCCCCCCAACAAAAAGAAAAATTAAATTTTGAGACAGGGTTTCACAAATTTGCCCAGGCTGGATTCAAACTTCCAGTTCTCCTTCCTGACTCTCCCAAAATGCTGGGATTACAGGCATGTGCCACCATGCACAGCTCTTAATACTATGTACTTCCTTAGGCTTTATTTTCCAAATTATCTATAATGAATTCATATTACTTTTTTGCTGAGAAAAAAGTGATTTAAAACAGTGAAATTATTAATGTTTGAAAATGTCCCACTTGTCCTACTTTCAGTAGAGCTTTGAAATGTTGGCAAATTGGAGGGAGTGATGTAGTAACATGAAGTTTCAGGCACAATCCCAAGACTAGTGAGAAAAGGATTAAGAGAAAATGGACCCTGAGTCACCAGACTAAAATGGGCTTTTACACACATTCACAGGCTTCTGATGACAGAGCCATGGCTGGATTTTGGTTCAGATCATACCCACTCCCAGTGTTAGGTGACTGCCATAAAAGCCTAAAGGTGAGGCTGTTTTATGTAGTTTATGACCCTTAACATTTATGGTCATTTTTTCTTTTCTTTTTTCAGTTTTTACTTTTTATTGCTACATGTTTGCATTGCATAGCATTGTTATGCTTGTATCATGTACAACTGATGCATTTGCTTCTGGGCTGGTCTCTATTATTTGTCCGCTCTGAAAATTGGTAGTGAATAACTCAGCTGAAAAGATATTATATCTCTGGTTTTTACATGAAAGTAATACGGAGGTGAGCAGAGTAGGTGGAAATACATATGAACAAGATTGGCCATAGGTTGCTAAATAAATCTTTGAAGCTGAAAGATGACTGCCTGGAAATTTGTTGTGTCATTCTACCTTAATATATGGTTAAAATTTTATTTATTTTTGTAATATGGGGGAATGTACCCAGAGCCTCACCTTTGCTGGGCAAGTACTTTGCCATGATTTCTACCCATTTTTATTTCTTTGTTTTGAGATAGTCTATATGCTTCAGATGGTAGCTAGAATTACAGGTTGTGTGCCATAACACCCAGATAAATCCAATCAGTGGATAGGTTATGTGTTGTGATTCAGTAAAAGTTTGTTTTGTGGATTTTTTGTTTTGTTTTGGTGTGGGAATCACACCCAGGGCCTCACACATGCTAGGCAAGCTCTTCACCACTGAGATATTTTACTTATACATACTTTTTGTTTCTGTCCTAGGTTTTCTGAAAATATTACAGCATATCAGAGGACTCCACATGGTGTTTCAAATTTCATTCCAATTTAAGTTGAGTAACCTGCAGTTTAAACAAACTGCCTGTGATGGTTTATATCTAGATGCCCACACACACACACACAAAGCCTCATGTGTTCATAGACAGAGCTTTTGGGAGGTGACAGGATCAAGGGTGTGTGATACTGGATTGTTTACTAATTGGTTTAGCTTGGTTCTGAGTAAGAGTGATGGATTTACTGAAGATGGAAGACTCATCCTGGGTGAGGGCGGCACCTACCAATAGACTTGTAGCCTGGATGGAATAAAAAGGGAAAGAAGAAGGAAGGCTGCTGCTTCTTGCTTGCCGTGCCATGAACTGTTTCTCCTCTGCCATGTAGTCCTGCCTTGGACCCAGCTGGCTATGAACTGAGACCTCTAACAACCATGAGCTAAAATAAACCTGTCTTGCTGGGTGTGGTGGTACATGCCCATAATCCCAGTACCTGGGAGGCTGAGACAGGAGGATCATCACAAGTTCAAGGCCAGCCTGGGTTACATAGTGAGTTCAAGGCCAGCCTGAACTACATAGTGAAACCCTGGCTCAAAAAATCAAAAAACTTAAAATTTAAAAATGTTAAAAATAAAATGAACCTTTCCTTCTTTAACTTGTGAACGTTGGGTGTTTTGCCCCACCAACAAGAAAGTAACCAAGACACGGCCAAAGCTGCAGCATTTAATCTCAAGAACTATGTCAATGATCTGATGCAGGATGAGAGGCCTCAAGAACATATTTATCTCTCTTTCCTCCTCCTACAGTTCATTAGATACCCCTCACCTGACCTCTCTCCATCTGCTTCATCAGATGCATGACATAATCAGCTTACTTGTTGCAGAGCTTCTTTTTGAGAATATGGTGGTTTCCTCACATGTGCTCATTCATGTAGATGTTGGTACCCAAGTGCATGTAGTATTTCTCATTGATGACCCAGGCCACCTTTTTCACGTTGCAAACACACAGTGCATGTTGGTGGGTCCTTAGTAAAAGCAAAATTTCAAATAATAAAACAGAAGACATTTAATTTTAAAATGTGTCTCTGTAACTATGGTCATACGTTACTAACCAGTCTATCTTGTTCACAATTCTACTCATAGATCGCAGTGTCAAATATTACTTGGAATAATTTAAC